ATATAACAATACATAACGTAAATACGTTATATAATATAATTATAATAACATTTCATGTTTATTTATAAACAATATGGAGCGCAGCTGATTCATACAAATTACATTATTGATTTTTTAACTTGATGCAGTCACAATTCAGGTATTACCTGAGGGAAAAGTAGAGGGGGAGGGTGGAAGGGGGTTAACAAATAGAGTGGTAAAAATTTAATTACTTAGGAATGAGTCTTTGCCACAAAATCAATTTTTCTTATCTCCATATCTTTGTGCAACCTGATGGTTTTAACCTTTGATATTTCAAACTTGAATTTTTTGATCAAACCTTAGTTTGAAATATCTATAGGTCTACGACAATGGGTTGCAAATACAAATTCAAGATATCATATACCACGCACCTCTGACCCTTTAGTAAAAGTAAATTCAACCTAAAGTCTGACTGTGTCAACCTTGTTGCACCGGCTAGTCCTATTGAGTGTCTGCTTTATTTACCCAATGTCCGGGCGATACAGTACAAACTGGGACCGGAAAGGTTGACCCGGCTCAGAAATTCAAATGTACTGCCCGTGATATTTATGTCCTTTACAAAATCGGATTACTCAATTAATTGCCAAACCGCGATGTCTATTAATTTGCATAAAGACCAAAATGCAAAATTAAAAAAAATCTATTAATTAGTATATTTTTGATTTTCATAGTTGTTGGGGTTGACAACTTGACAGCTAATAAGTTTTGCATTGAACTGGTTTACAGAGGGCACAACTTTTGTATCTTAATCCTCTTAGTTTAGCTCTCAACCTGAACGGTTTAACCTTAAACGTTGGAAACCACATTGACAAAGAAATTGAGTCTTTGCCACAAACTCTAAATTTCGCATCTCTATATCTTTGCAATTTGATGGTGTAAACTTTTGGTATTTCAAACTTAGATTGTTTGATTAAACAGAATTCATAGTTTGAAATGATTGTTGCAAAAATTATTGTTACAACAAGTTTTTGCTTCAGTTTTGGATAGTTTTTTGCCTATATCTTTTGTCAAGGTTAAAATTTGACAAAGAAAACTAAATGTTTAGAAAAAGCAATTTAGAAAATATTTGCTGTTCGTTTACTATGACAGTTGTTGACCTGCATGAAAATATATGCAAAAAACGCGCGAAATACGAACCTTTTGAAGTCACATCACTACCTGAAGGTTGTCTAGAAGCTGTTGACAATTGTCTACGGGCGAATCTTCATGAATTCTCACCGTAACCCCAGTATATTCACCGCTAGAAGACAGCTCCATACTATTTCCTAAATATTATTCAATTCTATCATTGTGTCCAATCTTTTATAAATAACCGTAGCACAGTTTTAAAATCGAAATTACAAACTAAATGAAAAATTGAGTCTTTATCTTACAACCAGATGTCTTAGACTTTTGATTATTCAAACAATAAAATCAGTTAGATCAAATATACTAATTTTGAAATATCAAAGGCTTACACCATCAGGTTAAAAAGATTTAGGGAGAAGAAAATTTGAGTTTTGTGGCAAGCTTGCTTAATCCTTTTATTTTTCAAAGCTGATGGTGTAAACCTTAAATATTTTAAAATTACTAATGGTATAATTTAGTCTTGCAGAATTCATGGTTTGAAATATCAACAGTTTGTGACATCAGGTTGCAAAAATTAAGCATTTCTCTAATTTTCTTCTTTTTAAAATTAATTTTTTTAATACTTCAAAGTTTTATAATACAAATCTAAATCAAAACAATAAAATAAAAAATGTAAAATATCTATTTCATGAATTTAATTGTGTATGAAAGATTTTTTTTTTGAAGAAAGAAATATTTGATTTTGTTTAAAAGTATTGAATTTAAGTGTCCCATAACCCTTGGTATATCAAAATATCCGAGTACAGGAGGAGGATTGTTGATAAAGATTTTGATGACAGAAATACGAGATTTATTAAACAATTCGGCTCAATGCAAAACATCAAGGGTGCGTTAAAAGTCTTGAATAAAAGGATTGCTTTTAAAATACTTTCAATATGATATGTACATTTTTCTGTTTGTATTTTATTTCGGTCTAATAAACTTCAAAACGGCTGAACCGATCAGGTCCAATTCTGGAAATCCTGGAATATAACCAAGAAAATCAACGAAATTTTTAAGTTTTCGGAGCTGAAACTTTAGAATGGGATATCCTTAATCCCGATCGGTTAATTAATCTGGAGATTAATAACAAGAAGAGAACAAGCATTATTTAGTCTCGAGATTAAGAAAAAGAGTGGATCAAGCATTAATCCTGATATCCATCATTCAAAAGTTCCCAACTCTCGGATTTAAAAACAATAAATGGTGACATGGAAAGCAACATTTGTTGCCTCTACAGTTTCATTGCACGAAAAATATGTCAATGAAAACCATTTTGACGTAATGCTTCAAAATTTGTAATTTTTTTTCGTAAATCGATAATCTTCTCTTTTTTCTCTGCATAATGTTTAGAGGCCAAACAAGGCTTATTGTTTAAAATAATGTAAGAATCAGATTGTAACCTACCATTACGTATCACTAGCAGCACTATTTGAAGTATATAAATATGTAAAATTTTCATTCTGACTTTTTATTTTTATCGTTCACACATTCACATTTCTGATATTACTTTCAGAATTTGTCTAACTTTACTCACTGTCCACCATTGCTGACGCTAATCATTCAACTGAAGAAGATTTCAATGGTTCGTTATTTGTGTCCAGTGACTAGTCAGGGCTTTCCCAGGGATCCCAGGTGTGCCGGGGTAAATCTGCTAGACGCGGCACGGACATATTAGACCGGTGTTGGTTGGCCCGGTACGGATCGGTTTCCATGGTCTTTCTGGCGTTGTCATGGGAAAATGCGGGAAATGAAATAGTTTGACGCGGCACGTCTGTTTTTAATTTGTTTTATAATGCATGGTATAAGAATTAAACATTTCGATTAAATAGTTAATAATAGTTTTACCACATTAAACTACTTTGTTCTGGTATATTCTAAACATGTCGTGTAAAAAAAACCGGCAAAACTGGTATCAAAAATTCAATTTCTCTTAAACCTAACTAAATTATTTTGTTTTCTTTATTTTTTTTTCTTCTTACAGAGAGTGATCGAGAAGAATAAATGGGAGAATAGGCTTACGTTGAAAAATATTCTAAACAAACCATTCAAATATTACAACCTATAATCATCGATTTTTTTCGATGCATTAGCATAAAGTTGATATTTCATAATATTTTGTATTTGTTTTATATTGAATTCACTTAAAACGACGATTCTGTGTCCACAGGGTGTCTCTGAATGATTTGTTTGGAATTATATTAATTTTTTAACTTGTCTCTGATATATTGTAGATCAGACCAATTATATTAATTTTTTAACAATCCAAGTCGAATATTACAACATTCTGAATTGGTATGAACGCAACGTTCTTCGGTATGAGTAGTTTTTTTTAACAATTTTCTTCTTACAGACGCAGCAGAAGAAGTAAGTAATAACAATCGAATATTTTTCGACGTAAGCCTCGACCCCTTTTCATTTTTCGCGAACACTCCCTTTAAAGTTTGGTTAGGAATTATCCACGCTTTATAATGTTTGCACGGAAAGCAAGTTTTGCTTTTTAAATGTGTGAAAATTCAGAATATAAACTCCGACGCCATATTTTAAATTTGCAAAAAAACTTATTTTCTCCTAATAGAGTTTCTGACCTTAGCAATTTAACCTTTCCCACATAATAATACATACTCAATACTCATCATACTTTACAGGGTGTCTCAGAATATAATAATACATACTCAATACTCATCATACTTTACAGGGTGTCTCACAATATAATAATACATACTCAATACTCATCATACTTTACAGGGTGTCTCA